AAAAACGAAAGAAATATTACATTTCTCCTTAAAAAGGCTTAAATCTCAATAGAAACTAAAATTTTTACGGCGCATTACTAACCCACTCGAACTATTAGTGCGAACGGGATGGACTGTTTGCAAAATTTCTATCATGGTGAAGGTGCAAGCTCGTGGAGAAGGTAGGTAAAAATCAACATTTAGTTTCTCATTTTATAAAATTTATTAGTTTTAGTTCTTCATCTTGTAACATAACACTTTTAACTTTTTATCTTATAAAGTTGGTAAGTTTTAACTTCTCACCTTACAAAATTGATAAGTTTTAAACATTTACCTTATATTATGATATTTTTAACCCATCATCGATACGAATTAAAGAAAATAACTCTCACTTAACATTAAGTATAACATTTTGTTAGTTCTGTTAGTTGACTGTTAACATCTGTTAGCATTACATTATAAAAAATATGAAATTTAAATTTTATTTTATTTGTTAGTTTCATTAACGAAATGCTAACGGATACTAACAGTTAACTAATAGAACTAACAGTCAGTTAATAAAACTGATAGTCAGTTAACAGAACTGATAGTCAGTTAAGAAAACTAATAAAATATTAAAACTTGATGTTAAATAAGAGCTATTTTCTTCAATTTGTATAGATAAGGGGTTAAAAGTGTCATAGTATAAAGTGAAGGGTTAAAACCTATCAACTTTGTAAAGTGAGGGGTTAAAATCTATTAACTTTATAAAGTAAAAAGTTAAAAATATTATGTTATAAAGTTAGAGGTTAAAACTTATTAATTTTATAAAGTGAGGGGTTACATGTTGATTTTAGCTAACAAGGTATAGGAAAATGTGAGTCCCACAATGCCAGGTTGTAAGAAAAAAATTAAAAGAGCTTGCAAACGTCTGACCGTCTTGCTTTTAACGGTCAAAACACATTCCGTTAGCCATGAGATGTACGGAGGGACGAATTCAGCACTTTTTGAATGGTAAGGAGAGGACATGTTAAACTGAAATAAAGTAGAGGAGGACATGAGGCGATTTCATAGTAGAAAGATTAAATTGAACTTTTTAAAATAGTAGAGGGATGACAGTTAGTTTTAACCCATATTTATGCTTATCTCTTTAAGAATGAATCGTTTATTTATTTATTATTATTTATTTTGTTTTGTTGTTTTACCGTTTATTGTGGGTCGGTGGGCTCCGGGTATTAGATAATTTTTTTTGTTTATTTATTTCTTTTGTTGTTCTATAGTAGATCAAACACAACTTAAACATTAATCTAGTTAAAAATTAGACAAAAAAAAAAAATGAAGCCAACCTGTAATACCCGAATTTTTATTATTGCTATTATTATTTAATTCCTTAAGGATGTGTATGCAATAAGGTGGAAATATGAGGACTTATGTGTATAATGGTGGTAAAGATGAAGGAGTGGCTTGTAAAATGTGCAAAACTTAACCTAGAA